CCGTGGACCTTGTTACCTACATCACAGACTAGCCTCGACCGAAACATAACGTAATGAATAAACAATACTTATCTATTCCTATAAGGTTTTTTTTTATGGCGGTGGGAAAATTTCGGTTTAGTAAGGACTTTTCTTGCGGCAGGAAAGATTTTAACTTGGAAAAGGTTAGGAAAGATACCTTTATCACGGTAGGAAGACTTTTGGGCGGAAATAATTTCAGTTCGGAAAGAGACCTTACAGTAGAGAAGAGAGAAGAGCAACAAGAAATTCTACCACTTACTGTATATACAATAAAAACGCGTAAACATAGGCCTATTATACACGTGAAGGTTTCACAGACAAAAATATGACGTCACAAATTTTTTTCCAACCAGTAAAAAGTGATCATGATTTCATAATTTACAATCGAGAATCCATGAATTACGTAAGTAAAATAAGATTTAGTAATTTACATTTTCTTGTATAGTACTGGTAGAAAAAAACCGAATTTTTTTATTAGTAAAAAATAAATTTATTACTATTATAAAATAAAAAATCTATTTTTAAAATTATATAGTATAATTTAAATATCAAATTACCACTCTAATTAAAATTACCAAATATAATTAAATAATTTGAAAATAATAAAAATAAGTTTTTGTTTATAATATTTAATATAATATTTTTTAAAAATAAAAATAAAAAAAAGAATTATTATATATTATTATAAAATAACAAATTTATTATAATATTTAAAAAAAATATTAAATTTAATAATAATAATAATAATAATAATAATAATAATTGGTTTTTTAAGATTATTATTTTTTTAAAAAAATAATGTTTTTAATTTCTAATATTTTTTTTGTCAATAATATTTAAAGAAATTTAATATAGTTAGTAAAATTAGTTTAAATGATTTATACTTATAAAAATTTTATATTTTATAATTATTTTTAAAAATAATTTTAAAATAAATAGAAAAAATTTTTATTTTATAATAATAAAATTTGAATATATATTTTTTTAAAATATTGATTTTTTAATTAATAAAATAAATAATGGTTTTTATTTGCTTGTTTTTTATTTTTATAATATATTTCTTATTTATTTTTGTAATTTAATATATAAAAAATTAAATTTTAAAACTTAAAAAAAGTTATTAATAAAAATTTTATACAATTCAAATTATTTAATTTTGTATCTTTTAATTAATTATTTTTTAAGTTTTTTAAAAAATTTTATTTTAATATTTTGATATTGGATTTTTTAATATCAGATTTTTTGAAATATAATAATTAGTTATTTAAATTATACAATATCAAAAAAAAGCAAATAGAATATATATTTTTTATATTTTTAATTATGCAATATAAAATTAATAAAGTATTAATTATTAAAAGAATTAAATAATTTTTAATTAAAAAAAGAATTAAAAATAAAGTTGAATAAATAATAATTATTTTAAATAAAAAAATTTTTTTGTTAAAAGATAATAAGGTTTAAATTAAAAATTATCCAAAAAAATTTTTAAGAAAATAAAAAATCTATAAATTAAAATTAACAAAATTTTTTTGATACTTGAAAAATTTAACTTTTAAATATAATTTCAAAAAATTTAAAAAATATTTTCATATAAAGATTTATATTATTGTAATTCTTAGGTTTTAAACTTTATTTTAATATATTTTTATTAATATTTATGCAATAGTTTTTAAATAACAGATAAATAAAAAATTCAAAAAATTTGGTATATCTGGACTTAACTTTGCTTAATAAGCAAACAACTTTTATCTTTATAAACTGTGTCCAAAGGCCTTGTGTTCTTAATGGATAAGTTAAGTAGGTTTATACAGAGACAATTATCTTCCTAGTTGTACTGGTTCAATATTATTCAATAAACATGTGATGCCGACCTGGTTGCAGAATAAAAAAAAAAAAACAAATTCGTTTAAATTCCCTAATATACAGTATGTTTATTTATAACAATATAATTTATATATTTTAGTTTAAAAATAAACAAGTTACCGCGTCATTGCCGAACTTGAATCCAATTGAAATTATAATATATGGTGCTAGATAAAAATACTCTAGCAAGAAAGATCGTAAGCAAATATATGCACGCATGGCAAAAGGTTTAATGAATATCATACTTGCGTTTGTTATACTATATATTATATTATTATCCGATTAATTGTACGAATAATTCGAATGCACCTATTTAATCGCCAATCAAATGATAATGATTTATGAACCTGATCCATGCCTTTATAATCAAACGTGAGCTACCATTAATTACCCGGATTTGAATTGAAGCACGACATTCAACCATCTGTTCATTCAGACAATCGACTGATAATTCACATAAAGTTTAATATTACTCGATGACTTTAACCATACCACTTGGAATATCTTCCTTTCACTCATATTTAACCCTACGCATTCTCCCTTGCATTTCATTATTCTAGCAGATTTCCCGGATCGTTGATTTGTTGATTGCATTGAACCACAAAAAATGAATGCATTCGATAATGATCAAATAATATTCTTATCGTGTGTTGCACGAATTCGAAATTATGCATAAAAATTGCAGCAAAACAAACCCTTGTATGATGATGTCACGTAGAGAATGGCTTCGCATGTTTAATGTAAATTGGTTTTCGTGATTCGTTGGCCTGACGTGCGATACAAATAATGCAACGAAAGTGTCTACATCACGAATTTGCCAACAACCAACCAAATTCGATTACATTAGCATTACTTTTGGAAAGTAGATTTTTTTATAATTGGTCAAAATTCAAGCTCGTAATTAATACATACAGTAGGTACATTTATTTCGCATAAACACAGATTCTAATAGGAAGGTTGTCCATTACGTATTGCGTACCAAACAAGGTAATCACAATTGTTTTACATATAAGAAGATGCTAAGGTTACGACTTCTAAAAAGTTGTTTTATTTGCGCTCGCGTTTATGCAAGGGCCTGGGAACAAAGGTTTGATGGTAAATTAAAAGTGTGGTCGATCATCTTCAAGTGGTTATTTTGTTCGATCCATACAACGTGGTTCTTTTGTGCAGATACGTATAATGGGGAATGCATATTTGACGAAAAAGTGACTAAAACATAATACATAGGTTGTCAAAAAAAGAGTTGATTACGTATGATTGTACTAATAAAATCATACTGTAATAAGTGTATGCTAACAATATACTACTAATAATGTGTTGAGCCGTTTTAGTAACAAAATTTTTTATGAAATACTTATATGTACGTCAATATAATGAATGAATAAAAATGCATGAAATCTGAAGAAATCATCAATCAAATAATAAAACAGTTCAAACTCAACTCAACTCGAGCAATAATTTTCTCCTCTTCTTTCAATATTCAGTCAAGTCGTCCATTCTTCGGTATAATTTTTACTCCAATAGTCTTTGTGCATTATATAAACATCTCTTTGTGTACCTTGCGCGTTTTACCTTTCTTTTTTCCTTTTTCGCTCTTTCATTCTCTCGCTTCATCGCTCATTCAATTCCTATTTTGTTTTTTGTATACTCTTGGTTTATTGGATCTGTTGTCTTATCCATTCTGATTACCCATCATTTACAGCTTCATCCCTTCGCAAAAACAGCGCAAAGTATGTTTGTAAATGTTATACATCAAAGAATTTCATTGTTTGTGCCGTAGCGTTATTGCGCAAAAATTCACACTTTTCCTGTTTTTCTCCCATTTAGGTTCGATCTGTATTATTCATCTTACATAATATTACTTCGTTTTCATTGTCACCTGGAAGAAGCTAGAATATCTAAATCAAGATACATAGGTGACATCCTCCATTGTTAATAAGCCTAAACGCTATATAACCGTTCGATCCATTGGAACATTACAAAAGATTGACGACCTAAGTATCTTGTAATTATTTCTTACGAAATATTTTGTCCCTCGACCTCGAACCAGAATGATATCTGGTCATCCACTCCATTTATAAAGAGTTCAGTTTGATCTATAATTTTTCACGAAAAAGAAACGTTGATAATATAAAGAAAAGGAACACTTGTTTTGCTAAAATGAACATCACCGACTCAAACTTTGATCCGACCACCAATTCTCACACATCCACCTCACCTAATTCTGCCCAATTTCACTCCTCATCCACTATCCTTGCCGTTGCCTCCTCCTTATCCCTGTTCTCCTCCACCACTCTGCATAAAAAAAAACCCTCTCAAAAATCCATTTCCACATCTTATTTCTCACTTGATTCGTCCGACGCTGAAGACCTCACTTTCCTCGACCAATTTCGTTTCATCGACGGCCGTCAATACCACAACGAAAAAAATGCTCATTACTATCTACCTAACGACAAACAAGAATCGGATCGACTACGAATTCAACATTATGTTGTCCACGAAATTTGGAAGGGAAATTATTCATCGCCAATAAAGCAGCGGCTGATTGATGGGAACACAAATGTTTTGGATATCGGGTAAATATATGAATTTTGTATTTTTCAAATGTTCAAAAATTTTTTTTTTTTGCGATGACGAGTTCGCTTATTCGTGTTTTGATTTTTATAAAATTTGGAATGAAGGTGTGGACCCGGTAAATCTCATATTATCACCCACTCTTTCCGTTTTCTTTCCATTAACCTAATCAAATTCTTCTCTAGGAACGTGGATTCTAGACATGGGTACCACCTATCCATCCTCAACATTCATCGGAATCGACTTTTCTCCGGTATTTCCTAATTCTTCCTTTACGCCGCCTAATTCCATTTTCCTACGCCACAACATCCTTGAACGTCTGCCATTTCCAGATTCCTCCTTTGACTTTGTGTTCCAGCGGTTTCTCGCAATGTCATTTGATGAGGTGGGATGGAATGATTTGTTCACTGAGATCGTGAGGGTGATGAAACAGGATGGGTGGTTAGAAATGATGAACTTTGGGTGTGAATTGAAAAATCCGGGGCCTTGCACAAAGAGATTGGCTGATGCTGGTGAGTGTGTTTGTCTATCGAATAAATCATTTATGTTACTTATTTCGTGACGTATGACGCTATCCTCATTTACAAATTAAAAAGTCATCGAATTCCACGAGTCAAAAGATATAAAAGTTCCCACAAGTATCGACTTGAGAAAATGCTTCGAACAAACTCGGCAAATCACAGACATAAGTATTGAGGAGAAGCATCTTCCATTGGGTAAATGGGCGGGCCAGGTTGGGCAACTTGTGCGTCTATCCTTTTCGTCCTCCTTTTGTCTTTTTGGTGACTTTCGAATTTCATCCACTCAATTTCTCCTCTCTTTTTTTTCACAGGCAAAAACTAATTTCAACAGTGAAATCCTGGGTCTTAAACCCTTCCTACTGCCATTCATGAATGTTACCAGCGAAGAATTTCAATTGCTGCTCGATAACTCGGATGCTGAAGTGAACGATTATCAGACCTCTTTAAGTACTTATCGAGTTTTTGGACGGAAAGTAAATGATGAACAGAGTAAACAGATGTGGGTTCAATATCATCATTCCTTGTGAATGTTAATCATCATTAATACACCAATACTTGTAATAAATTTCCCTTTTGCTTTAATCGAACCAACAATCACGTGAATAAAATATAATTGAATGAACAAATGTTATAATTAAAGTACAAATATAAGATAAATAAAAAATTTGAAATTTTATGATCATATGAACATTTTACTTGTATTTTGTAATAGATAATTGTTGTTAATTAATTAATTAATTCAATTGGTTTCGTAAAATTCAAATATATTAATTTAATATAGTTTTGCAAATTTAATTTTCAATGATTTTTTTTATTCTTTTGTCCTTATAATTAATTTAAACTAATTCTTATAACTAACAAAAAATAATTTCTTGATATGATTATTGACAAAAGTCTAAACTAAATACTTTCAAGTTTTTTATCAAAAAATTTTATTTACTAAAAAATATTTTATTTTAACTTTTACAAACTATTTCAATTTTTTTATATTAAATCATATACAATATATATATATCTATAATATTTTTAATACAATATTATTTAATCATTAAAATTATTGATTTTGATTTATAACATAATGATAGTATTTTATTTTATTTGTTATTTTTTTCAAAAAGATTTATAAAAGATATTATAAAAATATATCAATTTATTAATCTAATTAAAATACTGTAGTTGCTAAAATAAAAATAATTATCAATAAATGATTTTACAATTATAATTTAAAATCATATAAAAATAAACTTATTAAAATTGATTAGATATAGTACAATATTAATTTCTATTGCATAACTTATTATTATTTTAGATAAAATTCAAATCTTGTATTATTTTTTCAATTATATAAGAGAAATATAGTAAAAAAAAACTATTAATTTATTAAACTTTATTCAAAAAGTTTTTTATACCATTTAATATAAGAAAATTTAATAATTAACTTCTTGATTATTAAGCAAGCATAAAAAAATTTAATAAAAAAAAATAAATATGATTGTAATATAATATATATTATTTATATATTATAGAAAATTTTAAAATTTGTAAATCAAAAATATGTTAAAACAAATTTTTTAAACTTATTTATATATTATTTCTAAAAAATCTTTAATTAAAATTAATTATTTGCTTTCTAATTTAAATAAAATATTATTATTATTGAATATAAAAAAAAATTCTTTTTTACTTTCCCTTTTACATTTGAAAATTTTCTTTTTAAAAAATTCTTGAATTATTTATTTTTTTTTTGTTTTGTCTTGTCTCTTCTTCTTTATTTTCTCTTTTCTATATCTCTTTATTTCTTCTTTCCTATTTTCTTCTTTCTTTTCTATATACTCTTTTATATACTTTATCTCTTTTTTTTCTTTTTT